TGGCTTTTAATATAGACGTAAAGGGTCTCTAAGAGGCTGTCCAGCCTGACCCAGTAGGTTTCACACTTAATGTCCAATTCTCACTTTACGTCTGCTTTAAAGGGACTAACAGTGGATCATTTCCGAAAATGAGGGCAGGAGAAATAAAAGTGGGATAAAATGGAACATTTTGGCACTAGTTTGCTTTCCAAGCTTGTTTCAATTTAGTGTCTCAACGTTTCCTTACCAGAAGCAGGATTTTCTTGTCCTATGCTCCTTAGCTTATAAAAAAATCCGAGCTACAAATGTTTTCTATTATTTCAAAATGGCACATTATTCATATGTAGACCAATAACACCTCACATGTCTATTTCCATAATACAGATGGGTGGGGTGGGATTACTTAATTATGCTTGAGGTCTCAGTATGATGCTTACAAGTGTCTCCAGTGTTAAACAGATGCGATTCTTTTAAAGAGCCAAAGGATTTTCCTTTCTGAGAAGCAATTACAGTCTCCCCCTCCCCTTTCAAATTGGCACTGGAAGTTAAATTGTGCAGCTCTAATTTATTAATGTGTTTACTAGTAGAATGCTGACAAAGAGCCCAGGTTGCTCGAGGTTGCTCAATGAGAGAGACTTCAGGTTCCTATTTGCAGCAGATGGCAGCACTCACACAGTAAGTTCAAAAGGAACAGAAACAGATTCACAACAATGCTTTCTTCAATGGGAGGCTGGGATGAGCTGTAGAAGCCAAGTCACCTGTTGAAGATCCTAATATTGGTAGGAACTATAAGTATCAGTTGCCATAGCCTGCACAATCACTTAGCTTTTAGAGGATGCTGTATCAAAGAGTATCAGGGTAACCAAGCTTGGCAATCATTCAATTTAGAAACACACCTGGAAAAAACCAAGTCATCTATGTATTCATAGATAATTAATCAGGCTGTGATTTCTTGGCAAACCTATGAGTCTTAGCTTCAAAACAATTATTTTGCCCTCTGGCTTTTGGTTATATAAGAATTCATGTGTATAATAGCCTAAGTATCGATACTGTTTGATGAAATACATTTGAATTATGAAATCTCTTTCTTGGAGCCAGAAAAATACCAGCAGCTGTGTTCTAAATGATATACTAAAATACAGTATCAGGAATCGCCACATACTTCGAAATTACAGATTTTTCTCCTTGTAGTGAGACGAATGAGATGGCTTCAGAGCAGTGCTGCTCATAAAGAGTTTTTGTGGGCTGTTATTTCTTCCTCAGATTCCACAGTGATGACGAAGTAGATTCCACTTTTAATCTCCTTTAATGTTTTGAACTCTCTAATTCATTTGGACTAATTATTCCTAAAGCTTTTGGAAGTTGCACCTTGCAAATAACTGAGTCAGCCACCAGCACTGAATTAACCAAAATAACCATTCCTCCCACACAAGTTTCCTTTTTGTGTATCCCTTCTTGCAGCTCTGATGAAGTCACACCTTCTGTGTGGTTGTTCGGACGATATTTGAGTCTCGGTTGTTGTAGGGACAACAGTTTCTGCCTTCTGTTAGCTCTACATGGGCCCGATGTAGTAGCTGCACCTCTCCAATCTTGCAGAGTAGTAGAAGAGATAGGAATGGACACAACTACTAGCATTGCCACATCTTGCTCAGCATAGTGTCTCTAATGCGGTACTGTCGTGATTCAACGGTCGCTCCTGCAAGTAAATCGCCTTTATTCACAGATGCGTTTCATACAAATGACCACTAATGTGCTGGACCCAATGATACGGTATTATAATAAGGTGACCAGATTTTAACATTGGTAAAGTGGGACACCATTGAACTGGAGACATGGAGGCTGCTTGGGAAGATGGTTTATTGGTGGACAGGACCCCATGGCTTGAGTCCTGAGCAGAAAAGATTCTTGATTAAAAAGGTTCTTGATTAAAAA